CTAAATTATTCACACGTGGTGGCTAACGATTGGCCTGTTAGCCGTATAAGACGCTTGAGCAGTTTCCGCCCAAGCCGAAGAGGACTCCACATCCATCTCGTGGGGACTCTGGGTACACGGCAGGGTAATAGAAACCCTGTGTGAGATCCAGAGGAGCGTGGCGGCCTGATCCACCGCCCACCTCTTCCCGTCTTCAAACGCGACTTTTATAAGACGTATTTACGATTTCTATTTTGGTGGCTCGTTCACCCAGAGCATCCGGAGCTCTGCACCGTGGAGCCTAGCAACCTCCACGAGACTGTCTGTGTTGTCTGTCTGTAACCGCAACTCAATCAAGTTTTTCAGCCTACACCACTGCCATCTCGGTGTAAGTAAACAATCTTTAAAACTACCGATACGCGTCTGTGCCTAATTGCAGCTCGAAGGCCTTCCCTCTCCAACCCGGTGTGCCCGGGCTGCTGGCCACAGCCCGCGTGCAGCGCGAAAAGGACTCGGGTCGCTCCCGGCCCGCACAGGGAGGATGTGGTAAAGTGTAAGAAAGGCTAGAGGAATCAGTATTATTCCTACTGTATCACAAGCATGCAACTTTTGCTGATCCTCCATGTGCAACCCAATGGATATAAGCGTGTGTGTTTAGAAGCAGCAAATAGACAGTTATTAAGAATCTTACTGGTTGCCAAGATTTCCCTTACGAGATATAATATTTCTTCACCGTTCTTTATTTCTTCCTTTATCTTAAAAATGAAAAAGACAGCCAAGTACAAGGCTGAAACAAGACAGAGGATCATTTACTAGAGCAGAGAGTAACACCGCCCTCAGAACTGATGAATAGCAGAAACTCCAAGAAGGTTGCATAAAAGAGGATCTGGACAGTCCACAGTCTTCAGAAACCAGAGGCTCTGAGCATCCTCAAAGTACTAATTTCATGAAGACAAGGTGTCCCAGGGAGCCAAAATGCATTACCATCTGACAACAAGCCAAGGAAACTTCCTGAATTCCTCAGTGGTTTATGAGGTGGTAGGAAGTGGTCCCCTATAAACCCAGGGCTTTAAGCCAGAGAGCCCTCCCTTTATTTGTACACAGAAACATGAACCCCAAGTGGGGATTCTGCTGAGACATTCACTGTCTGCTAACTCTGAACTTCCCCACTTCTGTGCCATTAAAATACTGGTGTAATGTTTCATTAAGTGTTATTGGGAAGAAAGGCCTACATTTAAATGAAAGGGCTTTTAAACTTAAAAATAAGTCTTTTATCACCACCACTTAGGAATGCTCAATAGTGAAGTCTTAAAAATAGAAATAATTTTAAAAAGTCACATGTTACTAGGGGATTGAGAGGAAGCTGTTGTTTCAGTTACTAATCTCTGTACAAACAAAGCATTTCTAGAAAACCAATTGGCACTTCTATATATTTTAGCCATATTACTTGAAACTTATCTTAAAAATTCTACCTTATAATATGAAATGCAATTAAAAAATAAGAGCCAAAATGAAATAAGCATTTTCAACATCCTTTCAAGCTCTTATTAAAAATTATATATTGCAACATTTTTCTTCCATTCATTTGAGAAAGAAGAATTATGCCTACCTTATCAGCACACATTGCCACTTTAATGTCTTGTTTTGTAATTTCATAATGTCTTATATTTCGTACATAATTCCCAACCAACTTTAAGATATCTGCAGAAATGTATTCTAATACTGCCACTATGTAAACAGATACTTGGTGGTCAATTTTATAGCCTAGAACTTCCTGAAAGTAAAAAACAAAGAGTGCCTTATTAAAAGAAAATTCATCTGATCAAAAAGCTAACATATATCTTATGAAAAATCTATAAATCAGATATTTTACATAGTAATCATTGAACAGTCAACATATATTCAGTCAGTGCTGGCAATACTACAGTACTTAGCTATACTTAGAACAGAAATAACAACAGTGTCCCAAAAAAACACCGTGGTACATAATCATTTTGAAATGTTGACAACCCTACTAAACATTTATAATGTGCAATACAATTCCAACTAACACAGTGTCATTTGAAAAGCACTAAGTTCTCTTTAGTTAAAATAAAAATGCTCCATTTTTTGGCAAATTAGTCTAATCTTTTTTCTCATTTTACTGGATTACAAGAAAACTGAGCAAAAGCATCTGAGAAAAAAGCGGCGTCCTAACTGTATTCTAAATACATACAATCAACTAAAACGGAAATGTTCCAAATGACACATAATGTTTGTGAAATTGATGCTTTACCCCTTTTCAGTTAAGTAACAGGCAACATGCAGACAGTGAATCAAGCATAAAAATGACAACTTTATCACCAGGTGATTATGAACAACGCAGATTTGCCTGACTTTAAGTAGCAAAGTTGATATTTGAATACTTGCCTTTAACAAAGGATGGATTTTTTCCACTGGGAGAGATAATGGGTTTCTTCGCTTCCTTTTTTCAATAGCAGATTGTGCATCAGCAATTGCCCACTTATCAATAGGATGGGGAAAGCTCTTTTGAACACGATCCTTAGGAGAGAAAATAGCAACTAGCAGCTAAGTATGTAATCTCAAAAGTATTCACCAAACAGTATAGCAGCTAACTTAAAACAATTCCTAGATGCAGTTTCCTTATGCATATGTCTATGATGTAGTCATTAATTATATGAACAGATATAATTTTTCCTCCGTAAGATCACAGCTTTATTTGGAGTATGCGATGCACAGCACTCACTGTAAGAAGCAATACACTATCTGTTTTAACCTCATAGTCCAGTGTGGGCCCATATCTCATTGCCTGCATTACCACCAAACTCTGTTCTCAGGAAAGAATCATCTTCTTGGACTTTCCTACAAGCACTTCTCTCTGGAATATTTAAGTTCTTCAAGCATTAAGAAGATTAAACTATTAAAAAAAGCATTGTTTTAAAGATAATGTCTAGCTCTAAATTCCATATGAAATGAACAAGAACCACCATAAGGCTTCAGAAAAGTTCAGGGTTTATTTTACAGTTACTTCTTCCACCCTTCAGTAGCTACTGTGGTGCTATAAAAAGTGAGCCTCTCCCATGCTGTGAATGATGCCTTTGTGACATCCAGACAGCTACACAGATGGGGAGCCAAGGCACAGATATTCATGTCAGAGGTGCCTGACAATTTTAGGTGCCCAACCGGAGATTCTAATGGTTCAATTTCTCAGACAGCATAGCATTTTTGTTCAGAGTACAGCTCTTAGTTGCAGTTTTGAGTGCTCACTTATGTAAATGACACCCAAGTTTGAGCAACCGGAAATAAAGAACACACTTGTGAAACATCTGGTTTAAGTAGCTTGTCCTGCATCACAGAAGAACTCCAAGGCAGAAGCAAGAATAGAATCCCATTCTCCAAGAGTGCCACCATCACAAACTGCAGAACCATCCTTTTCTCTTCTGCATTCTCTCTACCTTCCTTCACTACCCACCCATCACAAGACAAGCGTATGGTAGACGAGTTACATTTACTACAAGTTCGGATTCACCCACTGTGCACTGAAAGGTGCAGGAGTCCTGTGGGGAAAAACATTTTACATGATCATTTAATTAAAGCCTGCATCATAATGCATATACAAAAGGGGGGGGTCAAATTAATATTGCACAGACCACCTTGATTCTGTTGTTTCTCAATCAGAATGCTTTGTAACCACGGTGTTCTCTTAATGTAGGTGCGCACTTAATTTTCCAGGTTTTTAGAAGTGTAAACAAAAAAAATAAATCCCCTGTTCTGGAATCATGATATTTAAAGACCACATGGTTCATAAACCAGGTTAAAACTTTTCATCTAGAACAGACTTCTATCACCTGAGCTAACAGCAGTGATAGTCATCTCTCTCAGCTCCACCAGAAGGACCTGTGGCACGCATTTTGCCCACAAGGTTGTCACCTATTTGTGAGAAGCAAGGAATACTGGATATCAAGGATCCCAGGTTTTCTTCCAGATTTGGAGGCAGATGCATGCCTAGTGGTTAGAAACATCTATTCCTGCCCCTCCCAGCCTCATTCTAATCCCAGTTGTCTGTTTTCCCATCATCCCCCAAGCTGTTGGCCCTTGTTCAAACCCTCACCCTGGCTTCTCATTTCCTTTGAACTGCAATCAGCTTTCCTCTTTTCCTGGGTACCAACAGGGGTACCATTCAAGTGACAGAAGAAGGTCACCCTGTTCTCAACTCCCAAGACTGACAATACAGTAGGACTTGGCTGCTGGAAAGAGATACTACAGGGAAAATACTGCTTAGCCCATAACAGGAATGGAGCGCACACAGTACACATGGAAATTTGTTGTCCATCAAACTATCTCTACTGAGTAGATAAACTAGAATTTTTCAGGACTTAGAACTTAGCTCCTTTGGGTTAACATACACATGGCTAACAGTAGGCATACTCCACCATGAGGGCACACCTCTTATGCTGAAGAGCATGCCCAGCAGAAGCATGCTCACCCTTCAAACGTTTTTGGTTTTCTGGTTTTTGTTTTTTATTTTCACTTAGAAAGAAGTATGTTCCTCTTAACTGAATCATTCTTGTCAACATCTCTAAAAATCAGCCTGATTCAGCCACAGAGTACTAAAGTCCAGCCTAGTTTTTCAGAGTTATAAGCAAGAGAAAATAGAGTCTTATAAAGGAAGCTCATTCAAATTCAACTACGGATGTTGTCACCTTCCCCACTTTTATGGTACCGCAAAATAGAGTAAAGTTATGCTTGTATAATAAATATACATCTGATGTGAAAAAGAATGTCAGTTAAATCTCTGGACAAAATAAAATCTGCTTTGGTCTCCAGTTACTCAACTGATCTGACAGACAAGTATCACCCGCCTTTGCTATAAGACCATGTACTCGCGCAACATTTTGAAGTGCTAATTTATTAAAATTTTCATGCATAGCAATCCAAATTAAGCTGCAAAATGCAAATCAGACTATTATAATAAACATTCTCTGTACCTCTACATCCAGAAAACTTCTTGGCTGGGCTTGGCACAGCATATTTAACAACTGCAGAATTAACTCCTCAACGTACTGTAAAGCATCTTCAGTAGAGGAAAGTTTAGGGTGAACTTGCATCTGAACCTATGTTGAACAGAAAACAGAATTTAAGCCTTGCACTTCACTCTTCATAACATTTTAACTTCTGAAGAGTTCATATTAAAATGTAAAGGATGTTAGCAGCATAAAAAAGAGCCAAGTTTTCAAGTGGTATAGATCAGAATAGAACTATTTCACAAAGTTAAATTAATTAAGGGTCAATTGCACTGCATTTAACTCACAGTACTTAAGTCTTCACATTGTTGCTATAGAAGCATTAAACATCTACAAGAAACTAGACAACTAATGGTGAGCAGTGGAGAAGTTAGGATTACATTTTAAATTTTGTTGCATATTTTTATTCCTAGCTCCCAAGCTTTATCCATTGCTAGCAGACTAAACTTTAGGCAGGGATTGTCTCTCCATGTACATAATCTGTTGAGACACTAAATTATCATAATGCAAACAAGATTTTTTTTTTTTACCATACACACACACTTACAGAATTTAGTAACCTTTAAGCTTACTGTTCATAATATTTAGGCAAGTTAATCAACTTTTGTAAAAAAAAACAACAACCAAAAAACCCAAAAAAACTAAAGGTCTTCTGTAAAATGGACATTAAACTAACTGAAACGCTAGTGACACTGCTTTAAATACCTAATTATTTTGAACAAAACATAAAATCTCCAGAATAAAAATATGTCCAGTATAATCCTGTATCTCATCTGCAGTCAATGTATCTTCACATTTTAAGCATTAGTACTTCACAGTAAATTACTAAGTTTGTAGTTATAGTTGTGAGCAAACTCCCAATGTTTCACACTTTGTGAAAATTCATTTCTAAATGGATTAAAAAGATTACTTCTGAAAATTTAACAAATGTGGAGAAAAAGTAAAAGACTACCTGAAATAAAAACCTACAGTGACTGTTTTTTGTTCCACATGCCTGACGCTAACAAATGAGTTGTTTCTAAACAGTTTACATTTCAGTTGCACAAAGGTCAAAATCTCAGAAACAGTGTATGTATTAAAAAATAGCCCAAGAACAACATTTAGCGATGTTTACTGTGTGTATGTCATAGGAAACTGCTGGATAACCTTTACATTCCAAGTCTTGACATAGCTAGCATATAGCATTACATTTCCCAGTCCCAAATCTGACAATAACCTACCACACCTACTTGGCTGGTGTATCCCAACCAAATATCAACCCAATACATCTGCATTCAAATTACTCCATAATCAATTGGCAGCAGTTCCATAGATAAACACTGCATTTATCCCATTTGCAGTTCTAATGGGAATTAAATATGATATTCATAATTCCACTGCAAAAATACACCACTAACTCAAACAAGGACATATGAGGCCCTCTTAAGTGGAATATTTCATGTCTGAGTACTTTCATTTGCTATATCTTCCCTTTAGATGTGCTTGCTAAAAATTAATGAGAATGTGGGTTCTGTGTCTGGCAAGCTATCTGCATACCTAGTGCAGTGGTCAGCAGCCTTTTGTTGATGCAGGTTAGAGGTCTCTGTACCCCTAGTAGCAAGCTACTTGCGTTCACTACCACTGAAGATACCAACCCCTCTGCACTGAGGGAAACGCAGACACAGCGAAAGAGCAAGCTCTGTGTTAAGGAGAAGTGCTGTAGATCAGGGGTTTTCAACCTTTTTTAAGGAATGTTGATTTTTCTTCTTGTGAGACTCATTCTAGGCATAACCTTCTTAAAAGTTACGCTATATAATTCTACAGACAACAAGCATCAGATCAGGACCCAGTGTGATTTTATGTATATAAAACTGTAAGCAGGCAGTAAAGGTGTAAATCTCTCTCTACTTAAGAATCCAAAGTTCAAAACATTTCCCAATTTTTCTATTTAGAGACAATTGCCTCACTCTCCTCAAAGGGCACCTCTGAGGACCATAAAAGCCTATGAGTAGCATTGGCATCTTGCAAGAGAGAGCACACTAAAACAAACTAGCAAACAAATAGCACCTCATCACTGATCAGTACTAGTTAAGTAGTAAATAACCTGCACCAATACTTACAGACAACTTGCACTCTTTAGTTTGTGTTAGCATGCAAAGAAAAAGCAGAACTTACTAGCTTAAAAGATCCTGGTTTTCTCTGCTTAAAATTGCAAATTCTGTGATTAAAACAAAAATTCACTAATTCTCTGAAGTTGAATACAAAGTTTTATTGATATATTTACAATCTTTAAGCAATTTGGAAGCCTACCCGTGCCTCAATCACTATAATAAAATACATTCTAAATACCTATAGATTTTGGTGTTGAATTGTGGGTTTTTTATCATGGAAAATCCCCCTGTCCCCTTCAATCACCAATGTGTGGGTTCAGTTGTGGCTGGCCCCCCTGATGCTTTGTTGTGCTAAGCAGCCCTCATATGCTGGTGCCCTGCCCCTGCCAGTGCCTCTCACCCCTGATATGCCCCTCACTCCTGACCCGCAGTCCCCGCAAACCCTGCTGCTGCCCCTCACTCCCAACCCGCAGCTCCCTGCCCTTGGCCCTCCAGTGTGAGAGGAAGGGAGTGAGCATATGGGGAAGGCGGGGGCCAGGGGAATGCAAGAGGGGGGGTGCACATGCCCCCTGTAGTGCCTTCTGCAGTGGGGCTCTGATTCCCGTTTGGAGCATTTCTGTGCTACATAGCAGGGTGCGGAGCTGCTGCTGGGCCAGACCAGCTCCAGGCAAAAGCTGTCTCTACAGCCCAGTGCACAAGACCCAGAACTGGAGCGAGCGCCGCGCCACCATAGGAGGTGAGGCCCAGCAGTGCCGCGGAGTTGCACCCCTGCTGCTGCTGTGCAGGCAGGAGGCACCTCACTTTGGTGGCCACAGAGGCACAGTGCTCCTTCCTGTGCTGGGTCCCTCCACTGGGCCAAGGAGGCAGCTTCTGTCTGGAGCTGATCTGACCTGGCTGTAGCCCCTCACCCCACTGTGGGTGCAGAAATCTTGGGGGGCATGTTCCCCCCCCCCAACAAACACGTGGCCTATGCCCCCTCCCACACCCAATGCATGGCCCAGGCCCCTTCCCCCCACACTCATAGACTTACCTGGAGGGATCTGCAGGAGCTGATCTCCACTGCTGCCTGGCTGCCACATGCACGTTTGCATGTGCACATACACATCGCACACCCCTGCCTGATCACCCTCCCTCTGCTCCCTGCAGCCTCAAGCAGCCCCTTGCAAACTGGAACTCTGCCAGCCTGCAAGCGGAATCCTGCCATTTCCCATGTTTTTCTCCTTTAAAAGAGAAAAGCCACATTATTCTCCATTAATGGGGGAAATGCATGTTTTACTGCAGCAAACAGAAAACCAGGATCCCTGCTTATCAGGCAAAATTCTAGGGCAACTCATTTGTTGCAGTTTTCAATGATTGTAGTACTGCTTGTCATTCATGTCTGCATTACAACAGCACCAGAACGCTCCAAATGGGAATCACAGCCCCACTGCAGAAGACACTCTACAAACTAAGTAGGAAAGTCCACATCAAAAGAAGTTCACAATCTAAAATAATGCAACAGCAGATAGAATTGTATAGACGTGGGAACATCTAATATGAAAACAGGTCAAAAAGAAACTAGTGGTTTACCACCCCTCTCTCGCTGTCCACATGTTACATCCTCCCGACCCTACCAGCCACGAGAGGATGGTCTAGTGTAGAAATTGTGACTAACTGCAAACACAGGTTGAAAACCCACAGTGATAAATACGCATATTGAGCATTAACTTCATTTGCATTGACAAGGTCATATATAGCCAGCTCATACCAAAGATCAATGTTTATCTAAACATTTAACCATTTCAAGTAAAAACAAGGTCTGCTGTCATTTCTGAAAGGGTCATCTTGATGAGATAAGGGAGATGATCATAATATTGTTTTAAATCTTTTACAAAGATTTCTGAGTGTTGAACCAGTCACTTCAGTTAAATAGTCTAAAATGTTTTAAATATCTAGATATAATCCCTATCCCCCTCAACTGCTTAGCTTTCAGTTCAGTCTTGCTCTGTTTACACTTTTCTATGCCAACAAGGCCTGGACTCTAGTGCTAGCTAGGGAAAACTTTTCTAAAACAACTTTTTGCACCTCTTTTAAAGTAAACATCTAACATGCTGTAGTATGTGTGTAAACAGTACAACATGTGCTGTACACAAGTTAACAGGGATGCCACAGTGTCACCTCACAAATCTGGGGAGATAACTTGGTATTTCTCATCTGTAGTGGGCAAGCAGACAGTTATGGCCACTGGATTTTTTTCTATCTGTACATATAGAGAGAAAGGAAGCACATGTAAATAGTGTTAATGCATGTTATTATTATTGGAAAAATTAGTGAGCTCAAATTATGTTATGGTAAATTTAATTTGTTTTAAATGCATTTATTCCTCCATATTTTAATATAATTTGACCTACCAGATTTAAGAAAAAGTAAACCAAAGTATGTGGGGTTGAAAATCTCTACTTGGGCCCATAAAATAATGACCCCAAATTTACTACGGTTATAAGCTGAATGCAAAAATTCTTAGTTAGGCAGAACCCCTTGTCAAAATCAGTACTCTTTCAAAATTATCTCTTTTTCAAAATTTAGATGGCTGTAACAGTACATCTATAATATATGTTCAAAAGTGCTGTATGCCAAAGATATATTATAAAGAGATCCCATGGAATAGTGGTCAGAGAAAAGACTGTATGGCTTTAAGATATAGAAAAGTTTATTCCTAGTCTTATGACTTTAAAATATTGGTAGGTGGATCATAAAGTAACCCAAACAAAAACTGTGCTAGTATGCTGCTAATTCTGCAATGAAAAGCAGATACTTGACAGTGGCTATAAAAAACTTGATAATTCACTTGACACATTCATTTGTGGATTGGTACTACTTCAAAAATTTGAATTAGCAAAGACTTCAGCTCCTTTCCTCTTACAATCGCCTAACTTCAGGAGAAAACATATTTATGCTGAATACATATTATATCATTTAAAGTTCTTGAAGAAAGATAAACCTCTTAAAAAAAAAAACTTTCAAGAGTAA